CCTCCCTTCCCCCCCCCCCGGATGTCATTTCAGCCAATGGACATGTGGTACGTCTTAGAAGCGCCGCGAGGACGCGCGACTGCATCGCAGAATTCGGGCGAAAGAAAGCTCAGGAGACAGGAGAAGCAGGAGCAGCAGCAGCAGCAACAACAACAGCAGCAGCATGAAGGGCAGCATCGGCAACGGGCAGACGCATCGAAAGGGAACGGCGGAGGGGAAGAAGCGGTGGGTTCAACAGAGACTTGGGTTGAAAAGTATTTCAGGGTATTATGGCACTGGCAGGCGAGGCAGGGGGTTCTATTGTATCAGGCTTTGTCCCCTAGGGGATGGGGGGCGGGTGCGGGGGCAGTACATCGCCGTTGTACACTTTTGAGAGGGGCCCTGAGGGAAGGGAGGGGTCTTGACGCTGTCGACGCTGTCGATGGAGGAGGAGGAGGTGGAGGTGCTGATGCCCGCTCATTACCGGAGCGGGTTGCACGGCTGTCAGTGATGTAGAGGGGTGAGCGGAGCGGAACCGGTAGAATGTGACGATACATACATTGTATACTGGGGTTTGTTGTGCTCGTGCATGCACTCTGTTGCTGTTTCCTGGTGCTCTTTTTGAGTCCCTGGTTGTTTGTTTCCCGTCCCAGCCACCTCGTTGTCCCCACCTCGTCCTGCATGCCGCCGTTGCTGGTCGTGTTATCTCTTTCTCTTTCTCTTGTGTTTTATCGTTGTTGCTGATGCCATTGCTGCTGATTGTGCTGGCCGTGTTATCTCGTATCGTGTCGTATCGTGTACATTACCCACATCTTTTGCTAGCGTTGCTGCTGCAACGCTGCTCTTGTCGCCGACCACCTTTCGCACGTAAAGACGTTGAATGGTTCTGCTCGCGTCTCCGTTTTTGCGTGTGACAACGTTGGATTATGCTCCTCGTATGTCCGGAAGACGGCGGTAGATGGTGGCGGTGATATGGACACGGTGGATGACGCGGACGACGACTACGATAACAACGAAGATGGAGGTACTGTACACCGTTCTGTTATTGGTCAACCCCGGTGGTGCTGGCTTTTGATTGGGTCTAAACTTCCACTCTGCGTCTAGCGGCTGCTGTCGCTTTCATTCTGTTGTTCAACATTTCGTGATTGGTGCTCATGTCGCTGGTATTGTTGCGGTAGTTCGGCGTTCGATGTCAACGTTGCTGCCGCGTTCTCCCTGTCCGCGGCCTGAGCACTCAACCAAAATTCTGCCCATTTGTTGTACACAGGCGAAATAAACTCTCCGCCTGAATCACCCATTGGACTAGGCCTTGACGACGGCTCTGGAGGGGGAAACGGCGGCGGTTACTCACTCTCAGGGGGGAGACAAGGCAGTTCAATCAAGCTAGGCTTTGGGAGGAAAGGCGGGAGCATGGGCCCTTCTGACCATTCGCACCAGTGAGCTTTTGCCGTGCGGCGGGGGGGGGGGGGGGGGGGGAAA